TTTGTAATTTTTTTTTTTTTTTTTGAAAAAATTTAGATTATGATTGCAATTGATTTTTTATTTTATTTTTGTTTATTTAAATATGAGAGTATATTTACCATTTTACAACTTTTAATTGAAAAAATAGATTAAAATGATAATTTTTGCAATGAAATGTGTAAACTGGGAAAAAAAAGAAAAAAAATGGAAGGTGAGAACATTTTCCACAATTAACTTCAAAAGTAGTGACATTTTGTGATAATAACCATTTTTTGAAATAATATGGATTTACGGGCTTGTTTATAAAAGAGTGAAAAAAAATATTATCTATATACACTCACCCAAACATGCTCTTTACATTGTCCTCCAAATTAACTTGTTTAAAAGAATAACACTCAATGCAAAAATATGCTTAAATTTAAATAATTTTAATTATGACCCCATTTTACAAGAAAATGTTATTTAGAGCATGTTTGGTATGGATTTTGATTTTGTACAGTAAATCAATTCTCATTTTCAATCACACATTTTTCAATAAAATAATATTTTTCAACACATCAATGATTTTTTCTTTTTTTTCAACCACACATTTCCCATCATATCACTATTCAAAAATCAATTCTTCCCCCAAAAATCCCTATCAAACAGGCTCTTAATTTTTCATACTCACCGTGGTTACAAACATAGTATAGGTGGCTCTATTTAATTTCACATTTCATTTAATCTATCATTTAGAGCCACTTAGATTGTGTTTGTAATTTCACTGGAATATATAATATTACTGTTACGAAATACACAAACATTTAGAAAAATAAAAATAAAAAGTAATTGTTCATAAATGAAACCATCTCCATTGGCATTTTCATTCCGTCATTTACAGCCTATTCGGTTTGGAAGATACCGAATTTTCAGTTGACTTTCTCAAATTTTGCTAAAATACTATTCTCCTCGAAAAACCCCTAAAATACATATCTTGAAAGTAAAGCAAAATCTCTTCCAACAAATCTCAATTCCTTGTGTTTGTGTGTGGGTCATTTTGGAATGGTTTGAGAAGTGGGGCGGTGGAGAAATGTCATCGGGCGGCGATTGTAGCGATCGTGACGTTTTATTGCGCTCAAATATGTCGGCACCGGACGGCGATTTGGAAGAAGGGGTCGTCCAATCCACAACAAAGAATGCCAATACTAGTGACAATAAAGGAGGTGTCGCATCGGATCTTTTAAAGCGTTTGGATCGCGGGCTATCGGGTTCGGGTCGTCGTTTGAGCGTCAAGCTCCGGTCTGACCGGGATCACCGCCGCTTCTCTTCTGCTTCTTCCTCCCCTTCCTCTCAGTTACATTCGGATCACGGTTTTAATAGTAATGCCGGCGGCGGCGGTGATGATTTTCTCGGAGACAGCGCGCCGCCGGAGTGGGCGTTGCTTCTCATAGGGTGTCTTCTTGGCGTTGCGACCGGCCTTTGTGTTGCAAGTTTTAATCGTGCGGTTAGTTGATGATTTGAAATTCGTCCTTTTTTTTTTGCCAAACTCTAATTGGCCGATGCAAAAGTTTATTTTTTGACCGTCTAAATTGAATTGCATCATGAGAATTTTGCTTTACGCTTAGTTCATATTCTTGTCGCTGGTCTTGAAAATTTAATTTTCTGCATAGCCAAGAATTGAGGTCGAAGCTTTTGTACTAAGTAAAACGAGGTAGAAAAACCTTCATACTTTAGACAAAGGGAGTAAGAGGTTTGAAGTTCATTGACAATGGGTTTTATTGCCATGTTAGTCATTCTTTTTTGGGTTTGTGTATCGTCAATGCTTCTGAATAAGCTGAAGGGGATCGTATAGTAAGATGAGCTGCTGTCCTATTAAATTTTCCTGTCTAATCAGTAATCTGTATCCCAGTAGAAATTAGAATAGAATGTATTAGGTATCCAACGTAAGGGATTCATCACAGGAATACTATAAGATATGAAGAAATTGGATGAAAACTAGAAACATAACAAGGAATAAGAAGATTTCGGGCTAGTTAGAAAATTTCTTTAGCATCCTTCTCCCCTCAATGCTGCGAAAAGCTACTGGGAGACTTTACTTGCAAGATCAATTCGCAATACTGGAGTTCAAATTAGGGTGCATGCCTAAATGTTTTTTCAGTCTGAAAGCTTGATGGTTCAGATATATATTTTGAAAATTTTGAATGCATTTTTTACTATTCAATGAAGTACCTTAAACTTCTTTTATAGTTTCTTTAAGGTGTTTAAACAACCTTTCAGGAGAGTTACAACTTTTTATTTTTGAATTAGAAAGTCACCTATAATTACTGATATCCTTTCATTGGTTATAAGTGCATCGGTATTTGATGTTTTCAAGATTAGTCCATGAAGTGTCTGTTTTTGGTTATCCTCCGTATTTCTTTAGGGCACCGTGAATTATTTCATCTCTCACATTATCTTGATGAGAAATATTAGATGATGTCCATGGGTGTTTCATGTAGGTGCATGTAATACATGAATGGGCATGGGCTGGTACACCAAATGAAGGAGCTGCCTGGCTTCGATTACAGAGGTTAACTGATACTTGGCATCGGATTCTTTTGATACCAGTCTTGGGAGGAGTTGTTGTTGGCGTTTTACATGGTCTACTTGAAATATTGGACCAAATAAAGCAGTCTACTTCTTCTCAAGGACAGGGCTTTGATGTACTTGCTGTAATCTTCCCCACAGTAAAAGCTATCCAGGCTGCTGTAACTTTGGGTACTGGTGGTTCTTTAGGTCCTGAAGGCCCTAGCGTTGATATTGGAAAGTCTTGTGCCCATGGATTCTCTGTGATGATGGAGAACAATAGGGAAAGAAGAATTGCTCTTATTGCTGCTGGTGCAGCTGCTGGAATTTCTTCAGGTATCATGTGTTGCTTTACATTGTTAGCACCACTAGATAGTGTTCTCTTTATGAGGGATCAGGTTTTATGCCGTTAACCTGTGTAGAACATTTTGGACTTCTAGGGCTTTGTCAGCTAGTTTCATGAACCATCAAAGATCAATCTATTTTTTCTTCCTCCTTTGTTATTGTATTTTAATATTTTTTGGGGAGAGAGAGCTAGAGAGAGTGAGAGTTAATTATAATCTTCTCATTGCTTCACCTAATATTTCCCAAAATATTGCTGAGTAAATTGTATTTCTCCAAAATATATTTTCTTTATGCATTATCATGCTGGGATCACCAGTTCTTTGACAAGCAATCAACAGTTAATTTATTTGTGTGCATTGACTAAAATGTAATCCTTTATACCTTGTTCTGGGCTAATGAATTTACCATCTTTATTTTTCCACTTGAATTCCAGGTTTTAACGCAGCAGTTGCTGGTTGTTTCTTTGCTATCGAAACTGTTCTGAGACCTCTCCGAGCTGAAAACTCTCCTCCATTTACAACAGCAATGATAATTTTGGCCTCTGTTGTTTCATCAACGGTATCAAATGCGGTGCTTGGAGAGAAACAGGCGTTCACCGTACCGACGTATGATTTGAAATCCGCTGCTGGTATTTGATCTAATTCTTGTTTTGTTTGTTTACGGAATTGAAAACATATATGGGGCAGGCTGTATCTTCTCTTCTGAACCCAAGTTCTATTTTAATGTCTCTGAATGTTGTGCGTCTGAGTCAGCTAGTTCTTTTTACCCTGCTAACCTGAATTTAACCTCTGCTGTTTGTGAGTAGGGTAGCAGATGGAAAAATTGTTGCATATTTTTTATTAAAGCAATTTTTCTATGTCTAAGGGAAGAAAGCGATTCACATGTTATGGCATCAATAGTTATTATTTTTCTGATCATGGAGAACAACAAGCGTGCATAAACCTATAGTGCTTAATATGTTTACACAGTCAAGCACGATTGACTAGATGTTCTGCTTCAAGTCTCACTAGTCAGTTCTATACCTCTATTTTATGGATGCGGTCAATTTATTGTCCGTAGGTGGGGTTTTCCGATTCTTCATAATGGACATGGTTGATATCAGAATGAATCATGTTGTTCTCACATATATCTAGTTTAAATGTACATACATGGTTTTGTGTGAACCTATGAACAGAATTTTGTGGACTTTAACCATTTCAGGTTGCTCGATAGATATCTGACCTATATTTGAACTATTTGTTGTTCAGAACTACCTTTGTACCTTATATTGGGGATGCTATGTGGAGTTGTAAGTGTGGTTTTTACCCGCCTGGTAGCTTGGTTCACTAATGCATTTCAATTCATCAAGGAAAAGTTTGGGCTTCCGGACGTTGTTTGCCCTGCTTTGGGGGGTTTAGGAGCCGGACTAATAGCTCTCAAGTATCCTGGAATACTATATTGGGGTTTCACTAATGTTGATGAAATTTTACATACCGGAAAGACTGCATCAGCACCTGGGATATGGCTTCTAGCTCAATTAGCTGCTGCAAAAGTTGTTGCCACTGCTCTTTGCAAGGGATCTGGCCTTGTTGGTGGCTTGTATGCTCCAAGTTTGATGATTGGTGCTGCTGTGGGAGCTGTATTTGGAGGTTGTGCTGGAGAGATGATCGATTCAGCTATTCCAGGAAACACTGCTGTTGCCCAGCCACAGGCGTATGCACTGGTAATGTCTCTTCTATATAAGCTGCTGTTTTTTTGGCCTTTCCGCCTTTCTCTCTCCTCCCGTCATTTGATTGTTGACATCACCATGCTGTATCTATATCACATTGCAGGTTGGGATGGCTGCAACATTGGCTTCCGTATGTTCAGTACCTTTAACATCGGTTCTTCTTCTCTTTGAGCTAACTAGAGACTATAGAATTTTGCTTCCTCTCATGGTATGCCTCGTTCTGAAATTTCATTGTTTTTGTGATAAAAACTGCCTGGTTCTGATATAATCAGGTCCAATTTATTTGATTATATTATTATTTATGTATTTTTTTTTTACTCAACTCAGTAGAAGACCACCTAGGCAGTGCATATAAGTTATTTGTTATCTGTAGCTTTACTTTTTAAATAAAGCGTGTTTGGCTGAACTTAAAATATTAGAAAAGAAGCCAAAAAGTAGCTTCTTTTCAGATTTTCTTGACAGCAAGACATGTCTGTATTCAAGAAGCCATGATTTGGCTTCTTTTTAGCATTTAATTGCAGACATGCTTATAATCCTGTTTGTATTCAATATCTTCTCATTATGAAAGGACATTTCAAAAGTAGGAGCGTGGAGTTTTGACGTGGCCTTTTAGTCAGTACACCATCAAAACCCAGGTGGGAATTTTAGGTGGGGTTGGGGTGGGGTCGTTAGGAACATCCCTACCATATCTATAGATACGAAATAATAGTACATATGGGAGGGGGCATATACTTTACCTTCAAAAGCTCAAATAGAGGAGAGAGAGAGAGGATTTTGGAAAAGCTTTAATTATGGAAGTACTACTTCCGTTGCATGTAACATGATAAAACCATTGAAAGGCTATATGCCACATGAGACAACCATATGGCGTCTTCTGCTTGCTTTTTGTATCTTTTTGTATCTGATGTATGGAATCTTCAAGCTGTCCGTTCAAATCAATCCCCTGAGTCGGCCATTTATATCATTGGGCTGAAGAATCACCCTATTAAGAGCCTGTATAATGTCGTTTGTCAAGTGGTCAGCTACAGAATTGGCCTCTCTAAAGAAATGTGATACCTTTATCGAGCATAGTTCCAATAGAACTTCTATTTCCTCCACAAGATATTGAATATGACATGGTCTTGAGTGTTCGTGGTTATGAGTTTTAATGACATTGTCAAATCGGTTTCCACTCAAAGAGTATGGATTCCATGATGGTTGCATAAAAGAAGTCCATGTCTTTTATTGCCCTCTATTCAGCCTCCATGTTGGTTCTCACACCATATGCTTCAAAGATTGCTATCATTACATCATCTCTATGATCCTGTAAAATACCTCTACCCGAGGATTGGCCCAGCATCCCCTTGCATGCTCCGTCCAAAATTCGATTTGTATTCACCCTCCCGCAGTTTTTGCTAAAAAACCAAGCACAGTTTTTTCTTCCTTTTGCATGACGGTTTGGTACATATCTCTGTGATGTATTCTTCCTTTCTTGCTTTTGTATTTGCCCTTCCTCAGTTCGATTTCCATTACATCAGACTCCTTTTACATTCTTTTGTATTCTCCATGATGGAAACTATTTTTGAACCTCTTCATCGGGCAGGGTCTCCTTCAGTTTGCTCATATATTAACCTTTAATATATGAAGTAGCGCAGAATACTTTAAAAATGATAAGAAAATATAGAACTAAAATCTTAATTACGATGTTCAAGTGTGCTGATTAACCTAGATCCAATTAGGTTAAAAAAAAGTTTGTACCATTGGGTACACATCTCCGTGTCTATAGTGATACCTTCCTTGCTAAGTACTTCTTTGACAACTGTGAGATTGTAGATTTTTGAAATTTGCTTTTTTTAATGGTATTTGCAGCATGTTATAAGTCGTTTGCTCTTGGCAAGTGACCCTCTGATGGGTTATATTATCTGATCCATTTTGTACTGAACAGTCATTCTTCTTTCTTATATGGGTAGGATTTTTTGATGTCTTGTTAAATGTGTTTCTCATGTATTTTGCTTGTTTTTATACACAATTTGCAACAGGGAGCTGTTGGATTAGCAATATGGGTGCCCTCTGTGACAGCTCAGACCAAGGTATCCGAGGCATCAGATACAAAGGGTTTACCAAGAGGTTATTCTGTTCTTTCACCTGTTGAAGACAAAAATGAAGAGGATACGTGGAGACAAAATGGTGAAGAGAAAGATGTTGAACTCTCAGTGATTGGGAATTCCAGTAACCATGAACTAATGGATGCGGATATATTGCTGGAAGATTTAAAGGTTTTTCCTAATGGGAACCACATTATTTGCCTTTTTATGTTGCCTATATTGTTTGTATCTGTTATTTGGAGCGTAATTATTTAGGACAAAATACATCAACTGTATTTCCTGCTATAATCAGGTTTTGCAGGCTATGTCAAGCAATTATTTGAAGGCCTCTCTTACCCAGACTCTAAAAGAGGCATTAATGTGTATGCGTGATGGTCAACAGAATTGTGTCCTTGTTGTTGATGCTGACAATTGTTTGGAAGGAATTTTAACATATGGTGACATCAAAAGGAGCCTATATGAAAACCCGGGTCATGCTTCCAATGGCGATACGTCAAATCCAGATGTACGTAGTGTCTTCTAATCGCAATAAATTTTATGTAATCTCTTTTGTATTGTGTACGGGTGCGGGTGCTTTTTTATCCGTGGCATTGCAGTGATTGTTAATTGTTAAGGGATAAAATCTCATATCAAATAAAGATGAAGATATGAACCAATTTATAAAAGTTTGGGCTACTCCTCTTAATAAGGTTGGAATCCCAAGTCTTAACATGGTATCAGAACCCGTTAAATTCCAATGAGCAATTTGATCCGACTAAAATTCAAAAAATGAGCACACGGATTTTAAGATTTGTTTGCTCAAATAACCACCATCTTGTGGGGGCATATTAAGTGATATTATTCCACATCGAATGAAGATAAAAATATGGATCAATTTATAAAGGTTTGGGCGGCTACTCATGAATTCTGTTGCAGGTAAATACATGTACCATCTCCTCTATATGTACTCGTGGTATAAGTTATCGTGGACAAGAACGTGGACTTTTGATTTGTTATCCAGATACTGATCTGGTAATTGCGAAGCAACTAATGGAGGCTAAGGGAATTAAACAGTTGCCTGTGGTTAAGCGAGGCGATGGTCTAAGAGATAGAAAACGAAGAGTAATTGCTATACTTTACTACGATTCAATCTGGAACTTTCTCAGGTTTGTTTTTGAATATTTCAGTTAGTGGTTGCATATGCATTCTTGTTTTGTCTCTCTATCAACACATACCTTTTTTCTTCCTGGGCGCTCAGATCTTAGAAAAAAAATATTTTTTCTTAGAGAAATGATATTTTGCTTCTTAGTCAAAATCAATTCATTTACAGTCTGCCATGTTAGCATTCATCATACTCCCATATAACATGTTCTGAATGGGGATGGTTTTATTTATTTCCTTGGGGGGTGGGGGGATTGTTTCTGTGGATTTCTCATCAGCATCTTTTTGATTAAAAAAGAAAAAAAGCATCCTTTCATCAAGTGAACTGGAAACTCATGTTTATTCATTTTCAATTGTATTCTGAATGATTTTCTGGTACTTTTATGCTTTTGGAAAAAGATTAAAATATTTTTCTGTTTTCGACTTCTATTTGGTTTTGACGTGACTAGTGATCTATGGGAAGTTTGGTCATGAAAATAGTGATTGTTGTCTGTGTCCACACATTCTGTTGTGTTTCAATTATTAATTTTTTAAACGAAAAATATATCTTTCTCTGAGGCCCTTCTTCTGAAATATAAGGATCATGAATAGAGCCACTGGCTTCATGAATATGGTGTCTTGAGCATTCTTTTAGATGCTTTCGAAATTTTTCTAATCATTCTCTCCGGCTTATGCAGAAAGGAATCAAATCAACCAACAGCGGGCTACCAGCAGAACAAAGAAGACGATTGTGACAAGGCAATTGTGAATGTCCAATTGTGATTGTCTACTAATGACACAATAGAAATTATACTGCGAATCAAGTTGCATCAAATGCATATACGAATGTTTTTGAAGTGAAAAGTATCATTTTTGTTCTGGGATTTGGTATCACAGTATGGTGCAGGGAAGCATACGAGTCTTTTGAGGGTTGAGTTGATCATGTCACTCTTAATCCCTTCTATGTAATTTAGCACAATGTATCTTGTATATGAAATTTACTCAAAAGTGTGAAATGCATTTTACTAGGAAAAATGAATTTCTTTTAGTTGAATTAACAAATTATTCATTGCTTCCCCTGTAGAACTTCAGTTTGGGCTTTAAAAGCGTGAACATTTTCTGGGGCATCATATACAGGCTTTTGAACAATAGTTTTCAAGCCCAGATTTGTTGTCTTCCTAATATATATTTTTACGCCATGGCATATCATCCAATCTTAACAAATGAGTAGATCTAACACAATTTTTGATATCTGCACATTTTATCTTGACACGTTCTTATTTGTCAATAATGAATTATATGTTGAGTTGTGAAAAATGTATCGAGACACCAAATTCAAGAAAAAGATTACTCTTAGAGCATCTTCACAAGATTCTTTAAATATAAGATGCTCTATTTCGAAGAGTCAATACTTAAAAATATGATTTAAGAGAGATTATTTTAATCTGAAAGTTAAATTCACTTTCTATTTTTAATTTTATAATTATTGTAATAATAAGTTACAAATTTCTATACTCAACTTCTTAAATTATTCAAATTATATTTGAATTGATTGACCATTCACATATAAATAATATGTTCAATAAAATATGAATAGAAATCAATAAGTATTTCTTTAGAAAAGCAAAATGAAAAACTAAAATACATAACAATGTCAGAGTTACATTGCAAGAATATTATAATATTCTTTTATTGTATTTATGAGAATTAAATATTTCGTTTTTACGAAATAACTGTTTTCTTGTGTATTTTATATAAACAATATTTATGAATCAACTGTTTCCAAAGTTAAATTGTCCTCAAATTGCTACATTATTCTGTTTGCACATAAAGAATAATGTAGCAATTTGAGGACAATTTAGCTTTGGAAACAGTTGATTCATAAAGAGTATACTCTTTATAAAATTGTATATAAAATTATAGAGTATATGGGTCTACAAAGATTTTTTCTATAATGTATTATGTATTATCTTACAAACTTATCAAATTATTACTTTAACACGCTGACTCCAAGTCAGGATTGACAAAAAAATATTATTTTATGAGGTTATCAATTTATCGAGTATAGTTTTTTCAAGTTTTGGTGTCCTAGCTTCTGTATTCTTGAGAATGATGTGATTTTCAATTACTGAACAAAAATCATATCTGCAAAAACTTGAAGATATCCCAGAAAGCCACCAAGGTTTTTTTTGGCAATGTACTAAGAGAAAAGGACAGGTGAAATTCTGCTTCAGGGTAACTTATTCTACTTTGTCCTGGAGGAACGAACTCGGATGAAATCCAATAAAACTAAATTCTGTGGTTCTTTATAAAAATTATAATTATGAGTGAACAACAAGATGCCCCTTCTAAAATACCTGTTAAGATATAAATCAGTATCTCTACTCTACCTTAGAGACAAATACTTTAAAAAGTCATACATTTGGTCCATGCGGGCATCGATTCATATTCTGACGATAAACCGATGAGATATTAGAGGCGCCTGAACTAGAATCAGGCACATACCCCGGTTTTAGTTCTCCTTTTGGCATCATGAAAGCAGCGTCATTCATTGGGTGCAACTGTCCAAAATATGGACGAACAGGCAACACAGGTAACTTGCCCTGGCCAGGTACCAATCCAGCCATTGGCAGATTGACTGGGTTTGGCCGATTCATTCCAAAACCAAAACCAGGAGTTGTCCAAAGTTCCGATTTCTCTGGAAGACCAAATAAGCTAAGTGAAGAAGGCCTTTCGAAGTGTGCCATGCTGTTGTGAAGTTGAGAAGCCTTGGCCCTCTGAAAAAGACTTGGAGCAGCACTAGTAGTTAGGGTCCCAAAATTAAAATGACTGCTGTTGCGAGCTACGGGAACAACATGGTTGTGCTTTCCCTCGTATGTGGTTATCACGGACATTAGGTCATGTGAAGCCCTCTCGACGTGCTTCTTTACTTTGCAGCCTGGACTTGTGCATTTGTAGTAACTCCTGCATCAGAGATCCAAAACCAACTTGACGACATCGACGTATTGTAAATTCCTGTCAGAATCATTTTTTAAACTAGTAATAATGTGACTAACCTTGGATTTGGATTTCCTTTCACAACCTTCTGTCCATATTTGCGCCATCGATACCCATCGTCAAGGATGTCCACCTCGCTGATTGTTTGCACCACAACTTTAGGCTCCCTGATGCCAATGGTTGCCCTACTCATTTCCGAAGTCTTAATTCTCCTAGAATAACAAAGAATGTCAAAAATTTATGGAAGCATCTTTGTATCAATTCCTAATGCATTGTTTCAACAAGAAAAATTACCTTCTCTTTGATTCTAATTCATCTCCTTCAACATCATTGCCTAATGACACACTGTCACGAGTTTCATTATTTGAGAAAGTAGAAGACCCATCCACACCCTCACCCGACTCAATCTGGGTTCCACTGTGAGCCTGCAAAGAGATAGCTCCATTGCTGCATTCATTGCTCACTGATGCTGATAATTTCGGCTCAAGATTGTCCTGGCTCCAATCAGGGGATCCTGGTTTTAGCACGTTCAACAAAATTTGATCACCATCAGCAAAAGTCATGGGTGACTCAGTTGTGTCAGGCTGCATGTCAGAAATTGCACTAGAGGACCCAAGTGTTGATTTGATATTTGATGGAGGTTTTGGGTGGTTGTGAGCTCCCTTGTAGATTATCCCTGAAACGTTACCCTTGTGAGACTGCTCCACTTTCTTCTTGACAGAACAATTCAAATGAGTGCACTTATAATAAGTTCGAGGATACTCGCCACTTTTTACTTGTTTCTGCCCATATTTCCTCCAATTATAACCATCTTCAGCAGGGTCACTGCTTCTTTGATCTGCATTCACCTCCTGTGGTACATCGAGAGGCAGAGAATGCTCTGCAAAGCCAACAGTATTGCAAGTCCTTGGATGTGATGAGAGATTGCTGTCTATGTTCTTAGCAGATAATTTAGAGAAATTTATCTGCGGATAAAATGTACTATTGCTTCCAGAGTGGACATTCTGAGGTTCCATACTTTCCGGCTGAAGCAAGTTTATGGAATGAGCTGACACCTCATTACTAGGAAATGGCTGTTGATATGGACTTGCCTGTTCAAATGAAAGCAATAAGAATTAGTGAAATTTACTTGCAGAGATACTGGTATATAGAAACTCAAATAACTTACAGGCCAACTTTATGCAAATACTAACTTTCAACAAATAAATAAATGCCATGCCTGACACATCTCACAGAGAGAGAGAGAGAGAGAGAGAGAGAGAGAGAGAGAGAGAGAGATTAAAATTACTTTTGTAGCTGCACCATAATCAAGAGCTGAACCAGATCCTGTAACAGGTCGGTATGCAAATGATGAGGCATTGGCATCTTCAGAAATATTCTCCTCGCACTTGTCAGGATCGTCAGTCATCAATGCCGAGTTCTGATTTTCTCCACTTGGGGAGAGAGAAAATTTTCCAGTTGTAGGAGATGGAAGAATCTGCACAAAAGCACAAAAAAATTTTCTTTCCCCTGAGGATCACCATTCTATGTACATACTGGAAACACGAGTTAAAAACCAAGCATGGTTCAATTATCAGAAAGGTAAATATCTAAGCTATCATATAAGATAGGCTCTGCATCTCCTCAATGTACATTTTTTATAGCTTGCAACCCATATTATGTGTCCTCACACACCAAAATCACTGTATCTTGCTATTCTAAAATGACACTTGCTTTGTTCATTTCTTATGTACCCATAGGTACCATACTAGTTTTGAATCAGATTTATCGATTAACTGGCTCCATTACATTGCTAGCAAATTCCACAATTTTTGGTTTTAGATCTTCCAAATCATTCCCGCAGGAGACCTGGACCCCATTTTTTCTGATTCTTCGAGAGAAAAATTCATTTTCTTCATAAAGAATAGGAGGTAGAACCAATAAAGAATTCTTTTTCGATTCATCCCTGACCTCATTGAAGAATTGTTTTTGATCAGACCATAGGAATCAATAGAAAGGGAAAATCTGTTATGATATTTGTTTACTTATTTTTCTTCTCTAACACAGTCTAACAGGATAAAGTCTACCCTACCAACCAAACCATCAAGAGTTAAAAAGAGCTTAATAATTTCCAAGCTTACCTCAGAATTAGAGACGAAAAGAGGAGAATCTAGCAGAGCTGCAGGGCTAAGACCTGGAGGAATCGTCAAATAAGGAGACTGAACTTCTGAATTCTGAGAACGATCAGCCGCTCTGATGTTTTCTGTATTCAACCTTGGGGCAATGAAACCAGCTCTAGCTATCATCCTCTCCATAAGACTGCCTTGAGAGCTCATTTTTGGCTCAGATGGTGCATTTGACTTGCTCATTTCATCACCCACTACACTATTTAGTGTCTTATCCTTTACATCGGTATTTCTTGATGCCACCTGCATTTCAGGCCCCGTAAAAGGGGTCTGACTTCTATTATCACTATCAGACTCAGTAGTTGATATTGCCAAAGGGTCAACGTTATACATTGATGTGAAAAATGTTTTTGGACTAGTGATTGGGGAAGTCCAATCTCCCAGGATAGCCACGTAGTCATCAAACCCACCCATGAGAATTGTCAGTCTCTGTAAATGCTATCAACTTGAAATCAGATTGAGTACAAGATTAAGAGTTGAATACATAAGCCGTGAATCTGAATCAACAGAACCATAACAATTCAAATTGAAATCAATATCGACATAAACAAGAAAAATCACCAACAATAAATGCAGTTAACTATGGTGCTGGTGGAAGTTTCCTTAATCTCATTAATTTTCACAGATACGGAATTAAAACTCATAGCATAAATGCATCCAACGCCTATCAAACTCGTTAATGATTAGATTTTTTTATCGCTATCAACGTAACCTAAAGGATAACACGTAAGGGGTTATCTTCTCTCTTTCTCCCATTCCCATTTACACCTAGTTACTATCTTTTAGATTCAATAAGCGAGCCATTGAATCGAATCTTTACTACACAAGTTCACGAGATTACATAAAGATAACTCAAACACAAAGCAAAAATACAATAGCAATTACTTTCGCAAATTCCCACAGTTGTTCATTTTTTCCCTCTTCCGGCCGGAAAAGTTAAAATTTCGTCAAGAAAACCACTCATCAAAGCGGTGAACGGCCATGGATACATCATACATTGTTTACAAACAATTAATGATACAATAATTTTTTCGAAATCCATCATGAATTAAAATCTAAGTATTTAAATTCAATCAAAAATCATCACATCAACCAGTAGAGACGCAGAAAGCAATCAGTCACTCAATCAGAAATTCCCATTCTTAAAAATTTACTCACATCAAAAACCTTTTTGCATGGCCAAGCTAAACAAGGTAGAAGATTATCAACTTTTCATTAAATTCTAAAACCCATACAGATTGAGAAAACCAACACCACACATATTTACGCACACAGATATAGATAGATAGATAGATAAACACATGTAGACTGTATCATGAGTATAACAAGAGGGGGTGAACTCAAATTGGGAGGGGAAAAAAACCATTGATAATCTCCAGAAAATATAAATTTCTCACGTAACATAAATAGCAAACAAGAAGACAGAAAGAGAAATAACAAAACCCAAGTTCAAATTCAATCATTGGCAAATGAACAACCAAAAAGATTCAAGGCAGGCGAGTTTTATTACCTGAAGAAAACACAGAGCTATCAAGAATTGACCTTTTTCTGACCCTTTCAGATTAATTTCTTCTTAACAAGAACAGTCTCTGTTCAAAGAAAAACTCGAATAGAAATAACACTCGATTTCCCTTTTATAAAATGTTTTAGCGGTTATTAAGTAAATCTGATTTTGTAAATAATGAAAATATACAAGACCAGAGGAGAAGCTTTCAGCCTTTCACACACAGTTTAATTATTTTTCTTTAAGTGTAAAAGGCAATTTCGTTGTGTTGACTTTCTATGTGGATAATTAAATGTTTGACTGGAAAGGTGATTAAGAATTTAAAATACAGAAACGTAACTGGTTTAACAAGATAGTAAAATTATTGCAATGAAGTAATTTCTGATAAATAATTTGACATTGGGCAAAGGACTTGTAACGTAAGAGATGTGTAGTTTTACGGCACATTTACTAACACAATAGACTATGATCGTCATCTATAAAGTACACGAAAAAAGCATTACGATTTATACGCTTATTTTTAGATATCTATCTCCTATAATGATTCAGTATGCCACGTAAACGTAGCCAAGAGTCTTTGAGATAACCCCATGTGTCATCTCATGTCAACGACACTATCTCAAAACAAATCAATCACACGATTGTGACCGCTTAAAAATGACGGCATATCGGTTTGGATACCACAAAAACTTAGAGAAGCCTTACTAACATTATGAAACTTAAATAATTGTTTAATGATTATGTTATAACACTCATAAAAACTATTAATAAAAGAAAAGGTACATAACATCTTAAATTCTTTTTGTAATCAATGAATAGTTCTATTTTTATCGCGTGGACTTAAATAAGTAGTTATAATTATGCCAAATAATCAAATCATAGATCTAGTTCAATTCGTTAATCTGTTTTTAAGTGGGACAAAGGTGTATACATCTCCCTTCTACAATGTGGACAAGTGCATTTCATGTGAGCTACCGACGAAATTTTAAACGGTTGCCGTCTAGAGGTCCTTCCTTATCTTGCATATTTGATCAAACATTTGGGATGAAAGTAACAGTAGGGGTGGACATGGTTCCATTTTATTCTGGTTCCAAAAGAACTAAATCAAATTGAATCATAAATCGATGATTTTTTGATAATGGAACACACACACACACACTCTTAAATAAAAAATGTATACTTAAATAAATGATAAATTAAAATCTACCACCATATCCATACTTAAATAAAAAAATAAACATTGACATTCAACAGATGTAATGGTAGCTGTGGTGTAGAAGTGCAAGTGTGTGTCTAAAATTGAAAAGAAAAGAAATAAATTGGAATTTAGATTTAGGACTTGGCCGCTTTGCTTGATGAGTGATAAGGAAAAATGTAATGGTAAATTACCTTTTTGTTTGTCCATTTCACATTTGTAATTTTTAAAGTTGGATTTTTTGGCATGAAAAAAATTGAGTTCGATTTTCGATTCGTTCAAGAACCGGAACCGAAATCAGAATTAGAACCAAATTGTTCTCGGTTCTTAGAATCAAAATCATTAATTTTTTTTTTAGAACTGAATCAAACCATTCTGTTTGCTTTGGTTCTAGTTTGATCTAGTCTGGTCATTTTGTTCACCCCTAGTGGCAAGAATATGATTTGGACCTATTTGCACTTTTTGTATAAGTTTGAAACCACAACTGCGATTTTCTCAAAGTATGGTTAAATTACTTTTTGTAATGGTATCATTTTTTTTTAATGAGCTCAAGATTTGTTCATGTAGCCACCAATATTCAACCGTGTTACTTGTAAAATTTGATTTGACAAACTTAGTAGACAATTCACATTTGATAACATTACATTCATCCATTTTAAAAACTATTTTAAAAATCGATGGTCCGAATTTTGACAGTACCAAAATCCAGAGTGAGAATTCTAATTCTAATGTGAATAATTTTAGAAAGAGTCTATGTATAAAGAACAAAGTATGAAAGTAACTATAAATATGTCAACGAAATGTACCTACATAATGAAGATTCTACCAAGGATACATAGCAAAAGATCTACATGGTGGAGGGACACAGGCCCGATTTTGGGCCGAGGCGAGTGAAGCCCGCGCCTCTGGCCCAAAATCAAGGAGGGCCTCAGATTTTTTGAAAAAAAAAGAACTTTTTTTTTTCTATTTTATAAGTGAAAAAATAAGCCTTAAATCCTATCATTTTGTTTCTTCTCTTAATTCTTTAAGCGACACCATGAGATTTGTTCCAAAAGATGATTGTAATACTTTGAATTTATTAAATTTAATGATTATGTTATAACACTCATAAAAACTATTAATAAAAGAAAAGGTACATAACATCTTAAATTCTTTTTGTAATCAATGAATAGTTCTATTTTTATCGCTTGGACTTAATAAGTAGTTATAATTATGCTAAATAATCAAATCATAGATCTAGTTCAATTCGTTAATCTGTTTTTAAGTGGGACAAAGGTGTATACATCTCCCTTCTACAATGTGGACAAGTGCATTTCATGCGAACTACCGACGAAATTTTAAACGGTTGCCGTCTAGAGGTCCTTCCTTATCTTGCATATTTGATCAAACATTTGGGATGAAAGTAACAGTAGGTGTGGACATGATTCCATTTTATTCTGGTTCCAAAAGAACTAAATCAAATCGAATCATAAATCGATGATTTTTTGATAATATATATATATACATACATATATATATATATATATATGGATATGGTAAATGATAAATTAAAATCTATCACCATATCCATAAGCTAGTAATATATACTTAAATAAAAAAATAAACATTGACATTCAACAAATGTAATGGTAGCTGTGGTGGAGAAGTGCAAGTGTGTGTCTAAAATTGAAAAGGAAATAAATAAATTGGAATTTAGATTTAGGACTTGGCCGCTTTGCTTGATAAGTGATAAGGAAAAATGTAATGGTAAATTACCTTTTTGTTTGTCCATTTCACATTTGTAATTTTTAAAGTTGGATTTTTTGGCGTGCAAAAAATTGAGTTCGATTTTCGGTTCGCTTAAGAACCGGAACCAGAATCAGAATTAGAACCAAATGGTTCTCGGTTCTTAGAATCAAAATTAATTTTTTTTTAGAACTAAATCGAACCATTCTGTTTGCTTTGGTTCTAGTTTGATCTGGTCTGATCATTTTGTTCACCCCTAGTGGCAAGAATATGATTTGGACCTATTTGCACTTTTTGTATAAGTTTGAAACCACAACTGCGATTTTCTCAAAACATTATCCCATAATCATGTTGTATGGTTAAATTACTTTTTGTAATGATTGAACTTTTTTTTTTAATGAGCTCAAGATTTGTTCATGTAGCCACCAATATTCAATGGTGTTACTTGTAAAATTTGATTTGACAAACTTAGTTGACAATTCACATTTGATAACATTACATTCATACATTTTAAAAATCGATGGTCCGAATTTTGACAATACCAAAATCCAGAGTGAGAATTCTAATTCTAATGTGAATAATTTTATAAAGAGTCCATGTATAAAGAACAGAGTATGAAAGTAACTATAAATATGTCATCGAAATGTACCTATATAATGAAGATTCTACCAAGGATACATAGCGAAAGATCTACATGGTGGAGGGACACATGTTGCAAGATCTTGAACATTTAGGGAACAAGTAGCCAAACATAATGTGGAGTCCGTTTTGGAAGGAAGGGACCGCTCAGGGTTGTCATTAGGAAGAGGTCAGGCCAAGTATAACCAAGACAAGCCAAACTTTTGCTGCCTGATGGGAAAGTTTGGGGTTTTTACTAGGAAACAATACATAAATCAAGTTTTTAAGTATCATCATTTCAAAATTAAGGATAGATGTTTTAAATTTCAAAAATCAGGTTTTTATTAAAATTTATTTATTAATCAATTAATT